GCCCCACTCCTGGAGTGGGCAAGGCTCCTCCACTGAGCATGGAGCAGAGGTCCGGAGAGGGATCTGGTTCAAAACACAGCCGGGGTAAACAGAGTCCTGGATGGCCATGGGGGACGCTAGGCCCTGCCATCTGCAGATCCATCTGTGCCCCAGTTAGTGCCAGGCCAGGCAGTCAGTCCGAGGGGCCCTGGCATGCCTGACAGTCCTTCATGTCCTCGGAGTAGTCCTCGATCTGGATGGTCATGGTGTGGAAGTGGAACTTGCCCTGCAGGCAGGCGCTGGCTGCCTTCAACACAGCCTGGGCATCTGTGTTCTGAGCTGGAGAACAAGAGGATACACCAGGGGAGGCACCAGAGAACTGTTTACTCACTCTTGAGCCCTTAGGAACAATCAGGAGCCCCACTGTCATACCCTACCTCCAGCAGAAAAGGATAGGGGACCATGAACATCAGGAAACCCCAGATTTCACTCTTGCACCCAGCAACCCCCTGGTTCCCATACCTGCCACTACCCTAAAAGAGCAGAAAAAGCATTGGCCTTAAGGTTTCCCTCTGCCACTTATTAGCTGTAAAAGCCTGGGCGAATGACTTTACTACACCACCCCACCCCCAGCCTCAGTTTTTCCACCTATAAATGAGACTGGGATGATTAAATGAAGTAATGTGTGCAAAGCACTCAACATGGGGCCAGGTTCAAAGCATGAGCACTGCAAGCATCTGGGGGTGTCTGGACCAGTCAGGGATGCCCCAGGCCTCTGGATGCCTCCCTCCCTTCTCCTACCCTGAGCACACCACCACTCACCGATGGCGATGTGGACAGACAACACAGGTTGGGCCACGGTCAGCGCCCAGATATGCAGGCTGTGCAAGGCTTCCACCCCCTCCACTGACAGCAGCAGATCCCGCACAGCCGTGAAGTCCACGCCTTTGGGGGTCCCTGAAGACAGCAAGGATGGGGCCAAATGAAGGAAACGGCTCCCTTCGACCTGTGCTGGTTCCTGCTCCTCGAATGTCATCTCAGAGAAGACCTCCTTGGCCAGCAGATCTGACATGGCTCCCATCTCCCCAACGATCTCCATCATTCCACCCTGTTGTAGTTTCCTCTTCTCACTTAGCACTGTCTGAGATTATCTTGTTTGTTAGATTCTTATCTGTCTCTCCCTTTAATATGGAAACTCCACATGAGAGCAGGACAGTCTGTTGTGTTTACCACCCTATCCTCAGTGCCTAGAACAGTGCCCATAGTAGGTGCTCAATAAAAAATGTTTTGTTTTGTTTCTGAATGAAAAGAAGGGAACCAGGAGATCCCCACAACCACGTGGGGCATCATCACTTTTATCTGAGTCCCATTCTTAGAGAAAAATCTCTGGCCTGCAGCTGGACACTCCTGCTGACCCCAAACCAGGATCAAGACTGACCCTGCCCATGCATAGACCCGTGTGACTCAAGGCCCTGGAGCACGAGAAAGCTGGGTGAATGAGTGTGTAACTCAGGGCAGACCATCTGCCACTACCTAGCACCCCTCAAAGCCCAGCCACATCCTCCTGAGATAGGGGCCTCAGAAAAGAAAGCCCGAGCTGGAGTGGATTCGGCAGCCTTGTCCAATCCCAACTGTCTGTCTGAGCTTCAGTCTGTCCTGCTGTGAAATGGGAAGCATAATTCTCACTCCTCTCTCTGCCTGAGGGAAGGCAAATGGATACAGAGGATGTGTATGGGGAAAGGCTGGAGTGCCAGGTGCTGCAGACATCACCCAGAGCCACCTGATTAGGCAAGGAGGATACATCCCAGCAGGGAGGAGGCACCCTTGGGCCTAAGAGGAAGGGAAGGCATGGTCCAGGGGACATTTCCAGGAATGGCCACACCTTAGGGCCCAGCTCAATGCCAAGATTGGCCGGGGGCCCCAGGAGGTTCTCCAGCCTATGCCAGGCTCCAGCCCCTGGCTCCCCACCAATGTACTGGGATCCAACCCCTACTCCTACCCCTCGAGCTTCAGTTAGAGCTGGCAAGCCAAGAGCGAAAAGGGCGCCCCAAGCCTAGTTACCTTCCATCAGCACCAGGATCACATCTCTCAGGATGGTCAAGGTTGTTCCCAGGACCAGGATGGAGAAGAGGAAAGTGCAGATGGGGTCTACATACTTGTACTCTGGCTACAGGAAAAAGAGAAGGCAGAGCTGGGGTTGAACAACTAACTCCTCAGCTTCCCTTCTCCCTTCCCACCTAGCACTGTGTCGGGGAGAGGGGCTCTCTCTGTGGGATGGGCACGAGCCTTACCCTGGCCCTGCCTCTCAGTTTATTCCTTTTGCAAAAGGACAGGCAGGACAGATTACAGTTCAGGATAAGGCATAGTCCCTTCCCACCCCTCCTTGCCCAAGGGGCTGAGACATGAACAGAGCTACGTGGAATCTTACACACCATCTAGTCCAACATCCCCATTTATAGATGGGGAAATTGAGGCTCAGTTAGAGTAAGGGACTCACTCCATATCACACAGCTAGCAAGGGATGAAACCAGGCTTTAAACTCAATGCCCAGCTCTTTCCAATACACCACACTGCCTCTATGTGATGGGCAATGCCCAGGCTTTGGCTGCACACAGTGCTGAGTTTGAATCTGGCTCCACAACTTACCAGCTGTGTGACACAGTGCAAGTCATTGAACCTTTCTGAGCTGCAGAAACCACCACTACAAGGTTATTATGAGGATCAGAAGTTGGATATTCTTTCCCTCTCCTCACCCTTCCGCCCAAAGCTGGGAGGGAGCTAGAATCTGGAAAGAGTCCTGTGGAGAGAGAAGCCCCCAGATGATCTACACTTTCCTGCCCTCCCCCACCCCACCCAAGTCCCTCTGTCCCCAGCTCTGACCTTGAAGTATAAAATGTAGGCCGCCACCAGGACGCCCAAGCTCTGTAGCAAGTCACCAATCACGTGAATAAAGGCAGCTCGGACGCTGGGGTTCTGCTGCTGCTGGCTGGGGTCATGGCTGTGCCCATGACCAGACTGGTGAAGAGTCAACCCCATTCTACGAAAGAGGAAACAAAGCCAGGGACTCACTGAGGTAGCAGGTAGAGGCTTCGAATTAGCCAGGTAGAGGCCACCCAGGTAGAGGCTGGCCTCCCTGTGGTGCAAAATCCCCAACCCCCTTGACCGCATGATCTCTTTGGCCACATGAGGAGCCGGATCCACGTGGCCTTGGTTCAGAATGCCATAGGAGAAAGGGCTCAACTCCAATGCCAGGCCGAATCCGGGCACAAAGATGTCCCGTTGCTAAATCTCAGAGCAGAAGGGCACCACAGAGGTCATTAGTTCCCCCCACCATGTCACAGAGAGGGAAGCTGAGGCCTAGAGAGGAAAGGGGCTTGCCCAAAGCCACCGAGCAAGGGAGAGAGAACCCAAATGAAATAGATGCTCTCTACACACCTGACTGTCACTGAGGGGTCAAACCAATTTCAGGCATATCGGCTTGAAAAAAGACTTGGATTCTGCCCCTAGGAACATCTGTTCCTGTAAGAACTAGTCTCACCCCTCCCCACTTTAGGTATAAAGCCTCCCAGGTTATTCACTGACATGTAGGAGGTGGGGGTAGAGTTGATGCTGCCCCAGATTTACAGTTTCTGATGGCCTTGGTCCAGGCCTAAGGTAGGTCCCAGGTGTTCCAGGTGCCAGAGCTTGAAGCATTAGGAAAATTCTGTTCCTGTAGCCTGTACTGGAGTGCGGCCTGCCTGCTTCCACCAAGAGCAGGCCCGTAGGTGTGCAGGTGAGAAGTGGGAGGAGGGAGGACTCACGTACATGATATTCACAGCCACAGCACAGCCTGCCGTTATCAGCATGGTCTCCCCCTCGATCTCATAGTTCCCAGAGATCAGCCGCTCCACCGCCAGGTACACCAGTACCCCAGTCACGACCCAGATGGACAGCACAGAGAGCAGGGCTCCCAGGATCTCTGAGGAAGAACTCACCCCAACACCAATCTTAGCGCGGGGCCCTAAGGCCGAGGAGACTTCCCTTCCCCCGAGAATCCCCCCATCCCCTCCCCACAAAGTCAGGGCCTGTGTCTGATTGGACTCTGCTGAAAGTACGGCTAGTGTGGTTACAGCGTACCCCACCGCTCGTCCATCTGACAATGTCAGAGCTAGAAGAAGTCATCTGGGTCAAAACTCTTTGTTTTACATGTAAAGAAACTGACTTTTTAAGATATACACCTATTGCTTGGCTGGCAAACTGAGACTTCTGAGGAGGAGGAGTTGGGCCATCTCTCCCATCAAGAGGAAAATGACAATGCAGCCCAGAGATGAACTAAAGAGCTTTTAAAGCCCGTTTCTTCCAGAAGGCTTTGCTGAACTTTCCTGCCCCCCCAGAGCTGATCCATGGAGTTATGCGCAGAGTTAAGGCCACATTTTGTTCTTTTTTTTTTTTTTTAGGAAAAAGTAAGGTTCGTTAAAAGATAAAAGATAGAGACAGGCTACACTTAGGAGGCTGTAGCCCTGTGGAATTTGGGAGATTTAAAGACACAAAATAGAATATGCTCCAAGGGAAGAGTAACCAGTCATTTTGTTCTTGAAATTTGCCCTCTTTATTTCTTAGGAAAGTGAACTCTCCCTCCCTGTAGACTGGGAGTTCCCAGAGGACTGAAGCCAAGGTTGACATTTTCCCCCTCACCCAAGGCACCCTCCCACCTGGCCTCACTGGGGGTACACTCATTGCAGCTACCTAAGAACTCATGTCTTGATCCACCCCTCACCCAGCCCCACCCCATCCAGACCAAGGCCCTCACCAGCTCGCTGCCAGCCAAAGTTCATGGTCTTGGTGGCCGGCCGAGAAGACATCCAGAGAGAGAAGAGGCTGATAAGCATGCTGGCAAAGTCAGTGAGCAGATGGGCTGCGTCGGTCATGATCGCTAGGCTATGTGCTAGGTATCCACCTGCAGGGGCAGGACCAGGAGGATGGAGGATCTTTATCAGCTCCCCAAGAAGCCAACTTCCCAGACTGTGTGTGTAGCAGAGAAACCATGGGCTCTAAAGAAAGACACTGGATCCTCTTCATTCATTCACTGTGTAACCATGGGCAAGTGACTTACTTTCTCTGCACCCCAACTTCTATTATCTGTGAAACAGGACTAATAGCACCTATTTAGAGGGTGAATGTGAAAATCAAGTTCAATTAAGGCCTGGAATAGTAGGCATTTAGTAAATGCTCTTTCATTCTAGGCATTCAGGCCTTCCCTTACCTACTTGTTGTGTGTGATCTTGGGCAAATTACTTAATGCGCTCAGTTTCATCATCTATGAAATCAGGAGGCTTACAACACCCATATGACAGCACAAGGTTATTGTGAGGGTTGCATGAGATAGTATAGTATAGGGAATATAGTCAATAATACTATAATAACTATGTATGGTGTCAGATGGGTACTAGACTTATCAGGGTAATCTCTTCGTAAGGTATAAATGTCTAACCACTATGTTGTACACCTGAAACTAATATAATATTGTATGTCAAAGGTAATTTAAAAAAATTTTAAATTACTTTAAAAATTAGTGAATGTTTCATCAAACAGGGCTGTTAGTATGGCTGACTCTTAAACAACAAAAAAGTTTGACCCGCACCTGCCCACTTACACGTGGATTTTTTTTTTCAATAAATACAGTCAGCCCTTCATATCTGCGAGTTTCAAATCTGCGGCCTCAACCAGTTTGGATGGGAAACAGTAATTGTGCATTTCCAGCCATGGTTTCCCAGCCTCAGATTACCTAAGGTGGATGGAAAACGGATGCAAAGAGCTGACTATAGCTAAGTTTTTGGGGAGTCAAAAGTTACACGTGGATATTCCACTGTGCAGATCAGCATTCCTAATCACCCACATTGTTCAACTGTCAACTGCATTAATATTACTGGAAGATCTGGGAGTAAAAGCCTTTTAGATCATCTTGACTATTCACGTGTCAATTTCATTTAATTAGCACCAAAGTCCTTACCAATGACTTCCCCAATCATGAACACCAGGCAGATAGCAGAGGCCACATAGAGCTGACGACGGGCCTTCTCCTTCTTGGGGTCGCAGTGACTGCCAGGACCCTTCTGGGCGTGACAGTAATGGTTGTTCTCCACAGCCAGCTCAATGCCCGGCAAGTCCACACCAGGTGGGGGCAAAGAAATCCAGCCAACTCCATCCTGCCACAGAGATCCCGTGTACGACCTGGCCAGGGAGGAAGGGGAAGAGGAGGCTCAGTTCTGAGATGGGGACAAGGAGGGCTCACTCTAGTCCTATCCTTCTGCGGGGGCTCGGCGTTCCCATGTGTCTAATTAGGAGAAAAGATAAGGACACTCCAAGCTCGGCAGTCGCAGAAGAGTGACCAGAAGCCCGTGTTTGCAGGTGGGTGCTGGGCAAATGACCGGTCTCCAGGAGTCTAGGGACCTTGGCCCAGAGTGTTCCCTCCTCCCCCATCCCTCCCAGGGCCTGAAGGAAGCAAAGACCTTGAGAACTGGCCAAGGGGCGGGGCGGTCCAGCCGAGCGCGGAGAAGGAACAAGGCTCAGGATCAAGGAGATGGGCAAACCCCCATCTCGCGCACCTGGGGACACAGGGCCTCCCAAGGCGGGGCTGCCCGGGACAAAGTACTCGGCTAGGGGCGGGGCTCTATCCATCGCACTTCCAACCCGCGGGTAGGGGTCAGGATCTGTGCTCAGCCTTGAGGGAGGCATGATCTTCGCGCCAAGCAGGTTTTCCAGTCTCCTTCACTTCACCCCACGCCTCCTGTGTGGTCCTGATTCAAGCCGCGATCCCAACTATCCCAGGATAGCAAACGAGGAGTTGCGTCAGATGCCGCTCATACTGCCGCCCCTCCCCAGGCTTTCACCTTACCGAGCTCCGGGCCTGGCGTCCAACAGATGCTCTTTATCCACGGCCCTCATGCGGCCCCGCTCGCCCCGCGCTGGGTGGGGAAGCCGCGCGCGGACGCCAGTCGAAATGAGCCCCAGAAGTTGCGCGCCAGGCGCTGTGGGGCGCGCACTCTCCTGCGGGGTGAGCCCCTCGTGCCGCTCGCGTCGCCCCGCGTGCGCCCCTCGCCCGCCGCCTCTGCCGCGCGCCTGTTCCGGCCCGGGCCGCGCTGGGGCCACCGTGAGACGGTCTCGCTGCCTCGCCGCTCCAGCTCCGGCTTTGCGCGCGGAGCGCTCCCTCCTCTCCGTGCCCCGCGTCCTCCCGCTTTATCTGGCCCTTGCCACCCCGTGTGAAGCGGCCCGCCGCGCGTCGTGTGCAAAAGCCCGCGGGGAAGGGGGAGGGGTGACCGGCTGCAAGGATGCCCCGGAGCTGCCCTCGAGCACCGGTCTCCTGCGTCCCTGGGGCTCAGGGAACCCACCTACTTTGTGACGAAAAGTTTAACCGCCTCTACTGAGTTAGGACTGCGCTATGGCTGCGCGCGCTCACCCCTGCGCGGGGCTGGCAGCGTCCCATCGAGAAGTTCCGGGACCTTGGTTTGTGGAAAACTGCTTCGGGTCCCTGGAGAGCAGGAAT